ACTAGCAGGATGGCCTAGGCTCAGTGCAGAGCCAGCTATATCGTAGCACTTTGGTCTTTAAGATGGAGCAAATCAAATGGTGACTACAGTGGGGTATGAGGCAGAAATCCGACTTCTGGGTTCTGATTCTGACTTGGCATTTGCCCTTCCCTTCCTCACCCATCTCTTGGCAAAACCTCAGCCAGCTTTATCTCAGAAGTCAGGCTGGAGCAGTGCACTGGGCAGGTGTCCCTGCTTAGAGTCCCTGATGGGGAGGAGCTTCCGGGTCCTTTTCCAGAGGAGCCCGAAGTGCAGGAGGAGCACGGAGAGCAGGTGAGTGCTCTGCTCGCAACCTGCCAGGGCACCCACATCGCTCAGAGATCAGCCAAAGCCCACAGGCTCTGGGACCTCAGCTTTCTGTCCTTGAATCCCATCCCTGGAATGCACTTCGCAACTTCTTCAGTCTTGCTCAGAGCTGCCTTCCCAGGAGGGCTTGCTCAGGCCACCCTAGGAAACACAGCTCACCATTTCAGCTCGGAGTCCCTGTACCGTCATCCCTGGCACCCCACCTGCAAGACGCCTGCTCCCTCCCCATCAGAACTCTTCCCCTCAGGACTCATCACCCCAGGGCAACCTGTACCCTTAGTGATCTTGCAGACTGTGGTCTCTCCGCCCCATCCACACAGACCATGGCTTCCTGAGGGCAGGGGTGTCTGTCCGCTTTTTCACTGAGCCGTCCCAGTGACCAGCACTCAGCAAGTACTCCAAGTCTGTGGGGTGACTGAATGAATGAAGGTATGAGAGGCCTGACTGCAGTGTCAGGCTCAGTGATGACCAAGGTAAGCTTCTGACCTCAAGTTTAAAATGAGAAACTGAGTCTGGGTTGTTAAGTGATTTGACCAAGGTCATACAGTCAAGATACAGGAGAGCCAGGAATGAAGCCCCTGTCTGGCAAAGATTGCACTCTTTTCTGTCTGTGCCCACCTTCAAGGTGACTATCTCAGCATGGCAAACATGCTTTCACTTGGGAACTTCAGCAAGTCTGCCCTGAATTTGTGCTAATGCTCTGAAGGGAACCTAAAAACGAGCCGTTCCACCCCAAGGCAGAAAGAAGCCACTGCCAGTCCCAGGGAACCCCCATCAGACAGAGAAAGGGAGGACTCACCTTCAAACACTTCTCTGAACCCTAAAGCATGGCTCCCAACAATTCTGGTCTTGTTTCATCTTTTGCTTTGCCTTATTTTGTGGCTTCCTGAGCAATCTCTTGGACCATTTCAAGTCTGGGTAACCTTTGGTCATGAACAGCTGCAGCATATCATGTGAGTCTTTGCGACAAAACCTTACCCCCCACCCCACCACGAATTTCCCCAAACCAAGCTCCCACATGGACACAGGGACCACAATGTCCTGCTTGGCCACCCAACGAGCTGCTTAGCCACATGAATCAGGTCCGGGGAAGAGAGCAGATCCTTGTGGGGACGGTGCAGGTAGAAGGATGATCCCAGGCCACCAAAAGCCCATCTGCCCTCTCATTCCAAGGACCACCATAGCTCCAGTCCCCCCCTCCCACCCACCACTCTCAATCACTTTTCTTATAATCACTTCTCCCTGTCTGATGCCACCCTGTTTGTTTATTTCTATATCTGCTCATCAGATGTCTCCCAGCGCAGAGCAGTGCATGAGGGTAAGGCTTGGTCAGCGCTGTTCACCGCCGTCCTGTGACTGGCACAGGTGGGTACACACACATTGGCGGAATGAGTGAGGCAAAGAGAGCAGAAAACAAGTAGATTTTGGAAGGAAAATATAAAACAGAAGGCTCACAAATGAACCCATTTAAGCCCAACATCAACCTGCACAAAAGAGGTCATTATGCCACGTAGCTGGGAAGGACAAAGCAGACCCAGGACAGTCCAACTCCAAGAGGAAAAGAGAAAATGCTGCCAGATGTGGTGGTACCTGCCAGGAATCCCAGTACTAAGGGAGGCTGAGGCAAGAGGGTTGCAAGTTCCAGCCAAGTCCGGGCAACTTAGCAAGACCCTGTCTCAAAGTTTAAAAAAGGCGCTATGAGTTTAGTTCAGTGTGAAGGCCCTGGGTTCAATCCCTAGTACAGAGAGGGAGAGGGAGAAGAGAGAGAGGAGAGCAGGAGAGGAAGAGTGAGTTGGAAGGAGGGGAGGGGGCATGGCAGAAAGGAGGAGAAGAGGGAGAGGGGACAGCAGACAGAAACAAGCACAAGGTAGTAAACCTTCCAAGAAGGGCAAAGCCAAGCTGCCTTGGGAACCCTAAGAACAAACACCTTCCCTCAAATACAGATTTAACTGAGATAAATCAACATTGTCCACCAACCCCCGCCAAGGCAAGACTGCACTTCCTCCATGCCCCTGGCACCACGGAAGGCCCCAAAGCTACCCAAGAAAATACCTGCCTATGGCAGAAGACATCACAATCCCCAATTTTACTATAATTATACTACAAAGCTACGAAATAAAAACAGTACAGTACCAGCAATTAAAATAGACCCAAGGACAAATGGCACCAAATAGAAGATGCAGAAACAACTCCAAGCACACTCAGTCACCTGATCTTTGACAAAGGGGCAAAGGAACTTCACTGGAAGAAAAATAGCCACTTTAACAAATGATGCTGGGCAAACTGGCTTTCCACAGGCTGAAGATTAAACTAGAACCATATCGCTCACCATGCACCAGACTAAAATCCAAATAGATAAAAGATCTAAATATTAAAACAGAAACAATCTACTAGAAGATAGAATAGGTAAGACTCTTAAAGACACAGGTGTAGGCAAAGAACTTTTAACCAAAACTCCAGCTGCATAGAATACTACAAAGAATGAACAAATGGGATCATAGCAAATTAAAAAGCTTTTGCACAGCAAACGAAACCACTAACAGAGTGAGGAGACAATTCACAGAATGGGGGAAAAATGCCACAGAATGCCAGTTGTTCTTAGGACAAAGGACTAATATCTAAAATACACTGTATAAAGAATTCAAAAAAAAAAGTCAGACCCTCCCAAATTGAAAGATCCAGTGCAAAAAATGGACACCTGAAATGAATAGACTTGTCTCAAGTGAGGAAGTACAAAGAGTAAATACATGAAAAAATGTTCAACATCACCAGTCATAAAGACAACACTGAGATTTTATCCCACCCCAGGAAGAATGGAGGTCATCAAGGAATCAACTAATAACAAGCAGCAGAGCTGTGGGGAAAATCAAACACATGTTGCAGACCAGTGGAAATCAGTGTGGAGATTCCTCAAAAAATTAAAACTAGAGGTTTCATTTGACTCAGCTGTGCCCCTGCTAGGTACCTTAGTTAAAAGCATCACCGCAGTGATATATGCATACTCATATCTATAGTGGCACAATTTATAACAGCCAAACCTTGGAAACAGCCCAGATGCCCCTCAATGGATAGAGAACATGTGGTATTTATATGCAGTGGAGTACTACTCTGCCATAAAGAAGGATAAACTTGGGACATTTTTAGGCAAATGGATGTATCTAGAAACCATAATTTAATTGAGATACATCAGAAACACAAGTTAAATATTGTACTGTTTCTCAAAAAGGGTAAATAAGGAACAAATGGAGGATATAGATTGGGAAGTAGGAAGAGCATGTTCAAATGGGAAGAGGAACAAGGGAGGAGGAAGAGAAGGAATGGAAAAAAGATTTTTAAAAAACAAAGAAAGGAAGAAAAACACAAAGAAAGGGAGAAAAAAATTGAAACAAAGTTTCTGTTAATGGGGACAGCAAGAGAAGTTGAAGGGAGGGGAAAGGGAGAAAAAAAGAATTAAGATATATTATGTCCAGGTGCAAATCTCCCATGATGAATGTGATCATTATGTATGGCAAATGTGTACTAATAAAAAGAAAAAAAGAATGAAAGAAACCTGCCCAGAGCAAGATCCCATAGCTGAAGATGTGAGAACCAAGTTCTTATTTCAAGGCACTAATGCCATAAATGACACAAACCCTCCTTGAAGAGAATATGTCACATCATTCTCCATCTCTGAGGAGTTTGAGGTTAGGAAGTTGAAAAGAGTAGGCAGGTAGGTGGGTCCTTTCTGGAATGAGCAGTGCATTTCTTTCATTCATTCATTTGTTCGGTGGGCATGACCTCACGCAGCTTTGAGAACCTCCTAAGAGGAGGCAGCACCAAAGCCTCTCCCCTCCTGCCAGTCTCTTGGTGCCTGTGGTTTTGGCGGGTACTGAAAGACAAGCAAACATTAACAATACTTGCTTCCAAAACAAATAAGGCCACGTGGAGCTGCGCTCTGGAGTGGGATTTCAGCTGCAATTTGGATTCGACTGGTTGGAAGAGCCAACTCAGACAACGGGGTCGTGGATCAGCTCCAGGCCCGGGGCTCCTACTCCAATCCCCTGCTCCTCGGGGTACCGAGTGTCTCCCTCGCCCGCTCAACTCCATTCCCAACATCTTCAACACATTCTCCCTTCTCTCCACATTATCCTTTCTCCTGACTCTGTTCCCGCGGTGTTCTCAACCTTGACCTTTCCAACTCTGCAGCTCAACGTCCCACTGTCTGAACCCCAGGACTTGCACCCCAACCTGCCACCACCACCCTCTTTACACTCCAGGTCTGAGCTTCCTTCCACCCAGGGCCCTGAACACCATATGTTTACAACAGCCCGGCTCGCAGGACCCTGAGCACCCCACACACACACTCTGCTGGACCCCTATACGCTCACACTCTTGTACTGAGGGCGCCCCCCGACATCGCCTCCAACTTCTCAGCAGCCCAAGGCCGGCGCTGGCCTCCTGGATCCCGGGACACGGCGACTCCTGGAGCCCCTGACCGCGGACGCCACAGACACGACACCAGCCCTGTGCGCCCGGACTCCGGGACGCCCGCGCGACCCTCGCCCCGGGACCCCACCCTGCGCGGCTGCGGGGACCTCGGGCTCCCCGCGGGCCCGGGCCGCGCACAGCCGGCCTGCGCCCCGCGCCCCGGAGCCGCCCGCCGAGGCCGCGCGTACCGTTGGCGATGAGCTTGGCCGACAGCTGCTTGACGAGCTCGGGGATCCGCTCCCACTGGCACTCGGAGCGGCAGCGTTCGATCTCCGTCTCCAGCCGCGAGCCCCCCTTCCTGGTCGCCATGGCGGCCCGGCCGGCTGGCGCGCAGCCCCAGGCCCCGCAAGGCCCCGCAGGCCCCGCAGGCCCCGCGCCCGCCGCCGCCGCCGCCCCTCGCCACCTCCCGCCGCCGCCGCCGCGGCTCGGGCACGGGCTCGCGGCGTAACGGGAGCGCCGGCCGCGAAGGGCGGGGAGGCGGGCGGCGGGCGCGGCTGGGCCCCGGGCGCCGCGAGGAGCGGCCCCTGCCGGCCAGGGCCGGAGCCGCAGCGGGGCCGGGGCCGGGGCCGGGGCCGGGCGAGACGCGGCCGAGCCGAGGCCCCGGGAGAAGCGAGGCTGGAGGCGTGGGGAGCGGGCGGGGGCTGCGCGGGACGCCAGCGACGGGTCCGGAGCGGCGGCCGCCGGAGGCTGCGACTCCCCGCCCCCAGCAACAGCACGGCGCGGGCCACCGACCCGGGAAGGTCACCGGCCCGCAGCGCTGGGAGGCCTGGGGCCTGCGGGGGCGACTCCGCCGTCCCAGCCGCCTGCGGCCCCCGGGCCTGTGCTGGCCCGTGCCCGGGTCAGGCGCCCTCTGCCCCGCAGCTTCGGCCCCCATCCGGGCGGGGGAGGGCGGGGACTCCTCCACTCCCCGCCCCAGCGCCTGTCTGAGCTGAGCTGGGCAGAGACAACCCGGGGCTCCGACCCAGCCCTTGCCCTCTGAGGACATGGCAGTCATCAGTGGGTTTCCCTGGCCCGGCCCAGTAGCCGAGCCCGGGCAGGTGTCTGAAGCGCGTCTTCTCTGGCTGTGCAGTTATTCAGCAGCTGTGTAGTTATTCAGCAGCTGTGTAATGATCAGCAACCACCGCACCCACCCAAGGCACTGGAGCTAGGGATGCGCCCGGAGCCAAAACGACAAAGTCTGATGGAGCCTACATCCCACTCTAGGGGATGAACAATGAAGCAAAATATGGTAGCAAATTAGAAAGTTTAAAGGCTACTGGAAGAAACTGCTGGCTTCGACGAGGAAGACTTCAAGTTGAGGGGGTGGGAGGTTGTAATTGTAAATGGGATGGTCAGGGGTGGCCTCCTTGAGGTTGAGCATATTTGGTGAGTTAGAGGAACAGCAGAGGCCAGAGGGGCCAAAGTAAGAGTCCAGGAGCGGGAATGATGAGCTCAAACTGGAGCGAGTAGGACTTGCAGTCGTTGTTAGGCCTTGTGGCTTTTGCCCTGTTTAGATGGGGGGTCATCTATGCAGGGGGGATCACCCAAGAGTGTTGTTATCTGGCCTGCGTTTTAGCAATGGCATTCTGGCTGCCATGCTCAGAATCTGCCAGTGGTTCAGGATAAAAAGGTCCTGGCTGGACCAGGGAGGCAGACTCTGGAAACTGCATTTAAGAATGAAGCCGGCCACTGGGCAGCCCCACTCCTATTCCAATGAAACTCGAGGACACCATTGCCATCCTTCATGGGAGCTTCTCCAGCTTTGCAGTGCTCCCACATGCAGCTCCATCTTCCCTCCCCTCCATGACCCTGTGGCTTTGGAAGACCCAACATTGCAAACCTCAGTTTACCAATAAAACAGCTGAAACTAGTAAATGATAAGCAGGAGATCAGAAAATGGTGCTGATGTGACCAGCACAACCCTTGGGTACCGCATTGGGGTGGAACGGAAGAGGGAATGACAGTTGAGCCACGGGACAGGGAAATGGAATGTCAGGGTGCCCTCTGGCAGGGGCAGGAAGGGAAGCACAGGAAGTATCCCCCCACCCTCATGTGCTCCCCCTCTGGGCCAAGAGGCAGATTCCTGTGCAGTCTTCTCAGCCCAAAGGTCACCAAGACATCTTGCCAACCCGACAGCCTCAGTGTGATCCCTTGGCGCTGGCCCTGGCCCTCTATGCTTGCACTCCTAACAAGGAACAGGGTCAGAGCAATTGCACAAGGACCCTTCAGTCCACCCCTCACCACAGGGCAAAGCATGAATGTCGCCCTTGCTGATTAACTGTCTTCATGGGGACAGGGGCTGCCTTGGCAGTGGCCTTTAACTGGTGTTTGTGTCCTCTCAGCTGAGTGCAAACATGAGAACCATGTTCACATGCACATGGGGCCTCCTGCAGCCTGGTGCCCCCACACTCAGCATGGGGCCAGCCTGGGTAGGAGCCTGTGTGGATGGATGAGTGAGGCTGCAGATCTCCAGGGCGGCGGAATCGGCTCCATCCGTCGCTGTAGTGTGACTGTGATTTGAATGCATCCCGTAAGTGTTCATGCATGGGGAGCTTGGTCCTAAAGTGGACCCTTTAAAGGGTCCTTAGGTCACTGGGGGAGCTGCTCTAGGAAGGACTGAAAGCAGCTCTGGGGGATCCCCAAGCTCTTGAGTGAGAGTGGGTTGTTTTACGAACAAGCCCATTGCCTGAATCATGCTGGTTTCCTGTTTGGCGATGGAATCTCTCCTCCACCATATATCATGAGGTCCTCGTCAGAGTCATGCTGATGCTGGTGCCATGCTTTTGAATGCTCAGAACTGTGAGCTGAATAAATCTCTTTTCCTTATAAAGTCAGCCTGCCTCAGGCATTTCATTACAGTAGTGAAAAGCAGATTCACACAGGACTTCTGGTCTTTCTTTGTTGACTGCATACTGAAGCCCATTAGGGTGCTCTTCAAACCATTTGCTTGAATCCCAAGGTGATTCAATTGAATGCTTGGGCATAGAGGCTGACAAACATTGTCAGTCTGACCCAGCAGAGAGAAAGAACCTTTTAGATCTTCACTGTACAGAGCCAAAGGCCAGTCTTTGTGATCTCTGGATTGATCCCCTTTCCTCACAACATTTTGGTCCTAAGCAGTAATGGGCGCCATACTGGCAGCTACCAAAACAGCCTAGAGAGACACAAGTGATCTGTGAGGAGAAAGTTCCTGAAGCATTTCCCAGGTGAGTTTACCTGCAGGTGGCACTCAGGCCCATTCAGGAGTAGGAATTCAGTTGTATTAATAATAATAATTAGCCAGCATCTTTTTCTCTGGGCATTCAGGTATTACAGGTCTGACGAGGATGTGAACAGTCACAGTCTCTAGGTGGTGCTGAGGCCTAGTGAGGCCTGACAGACCAGAGGCCAAATGGAAGGGACTGAGAAGGAAGCCTGAGTCCAGGACAGGCCCTGGGGCAAAGCTGTGTGGCCAAGTGCAGCAGAGATGTGCTGTAGATTCAGACCAGAGGTTACTGCTAGTGGGGAGCTAGAAACTTCTTAGACCCTCAGTCAAAGCCTCTTCCCGCTAAAATCCCAGATTCCCTACAAAGCTACCACAAGGGAAGAGGTGAGCAGAGGGGTGCAGAGGGAGGGAGACTGACTGACTGCAGGCCTGGGTGGGGTGGAGGGAGCTCCTGGGAAGAAAACACGGCTGCTGAGAGGAGAGATTGGGGCTTTGCGCCTGCTCCCCCAGCCTGGCCTGGCCAGGCCACCTTTCCTCAAGTGTTCCCACAGTCCTCCTGGCACCCCAACATCACGTCTTTAGACAGGCCTTCCCTGCCCACTCTATGCATGCTCACCCTCCATGTCCCCTTCCCCTGGACAGTGTCCCTCTTGTCACTGTCCAACCACTGTTTACTGGTATCCTATAAGCTGTCTGCCTCCCGTCATTAGAACACAAGTGCCACAGGATAGGGGTTTTCACGTGGATTTTGTTCGATCAGGAGAAGAATGGGAAACCATCTATAAAACGGGCTAGGGCTCCAGGGAGAATTGAAACCCCAAAAATAAACACTGAAGGCCTTCCGAGAGCTTCTGACCTTTGACCCTCCCCACCAAGATGGCAAAAAGACAGCCACAGTCAGGGAGCCCCTCTGGCGCCCAGAAGGTGTAGTACGCTGGCAGCTGGCACTGTGGGCGTCCTCGAAGCAGTGCTGGCAGGGGACCTGGCAAGGATGCCACTAGGCTGTCAGGCCTGGGGTGTGAGTAACGAGGGCCGTGGGGGTCTTGGGTTGGCTTTTAATTATGCAATATCTGATGCAGACGAAAATACATATAATCAAGGGAGGCCTGTATAATAAAGCAATAGGGTGAACACCAGTGAGACTTCTGATTACCCCAGAGTTAAACACCTCTTGATTGTGTGTTTAACTACACCCTGGCTTTGTTTTTAGATGTGTCCTCACTAAACTTGCTTCCTGCCACTTCTTACTGAAAGGTTTGGCCCAGACAGGACACTGTAGCCAGGAAAGCCACAGCCGGAAGCAGGAAGCCCCATCTTGCCCTGCCCCTAGGAAGTTACCTGTGACGCCATCTTCCCGCCCCTGGAAATTTACATATGGCGCCAAACCTAGGACCAATGGGCTACCTGTGTATCCCTAATGCCCGCCTTAGGTTCCACCCCAAACCGAGGCTATTTACAGGCCCCCACGCCGCGTGTCCGCCGGAGAGATTGCCGGACGCCAGCGGTGGGGTTGCCGGTCATCTCTCTCCGTGTTCTCAGAATAAAGGCCGCTTTTTATTTTATATTTCTCATCTTTTGTTAATATTTTTCATCTTTTGGAAATATCTCTATCATTTGGTGCCGTGACTCTATCGGCAGGCAACTGACTGTTGGGCCACATACCCAAAGTCTTCTAGCCGATAACCAGATAACATCCTGGATTAATCCCGAGCTTTTTCCTCTCCCAAGACGTTCCTGTCGCCAGCCGCCTGCGCTCCGCATCGGCCAGACTGATTTCAGGTGAGCACTCCCCGGGGAACTTTTCGCACTGGGCAGCCCCAGTGGAATGTTCTCCCCGTCTGCGTGGGTCTGTGCATTTTCACGTCCTTAGGACCGCCCAGGGCAGGGTTCTTTCTGGGCAAACCTGCGCCCACAAAATCTCTCACGTTCTTTGGGTTCGGATAGCCCAAAGCAGAGATTTTTGGGACCGCCCACACTGAAAGAATGCCTCACTTCCCTTAAAGCCTTGCGCTTTCACGGGCAAAACTGTTACTGATCCCACGTAGACTCCATTCGTAAATCTCTCAGTGACGACTGGAGTTTACGGTTTGGAACCTTAGCCGCCGCGTGGTACCACAAATAAGTGACGACTTTTTTCTGGACCTCCGGTTTTTTTTCTTGCCTGAATCAGTCATGGGGAACGTATTTTCTAACTCCCAAAAGACGCCTTTAA